CACCACACCTATCTTCAGGCTGAACTCACCTGCAGTGGTCTGCAGCCACTGGCCCTGCAGGATGTCTGTCCCCAGAATATGCTCAGGGCTGGGCTGGTTTCTCCTGGGCTGCCTTCTCGCAGTTGCCTCATGTGGCCATCCCCCTGCCTGCATCCCTGGTGTCTCTTCCTCTGCTTATAAGGATACCTGTCCTATGGGGTCAGAGCCCCACCCTTACCACCTCATTTAACCTTAGTTAGCTCCTTAAGACCCCACCTTCAAATACACTCACTTTGGGGCATAGGAATTTTGGAAACCTGGTAACGGCGGTGACACTGAGGTTGAAGTCAGTCAGTATGTGTGACTGTGCTGTCCTGGCATCTGCTGCGCCTGGACGTGTCCTAATTTATCCCTGGAAGATGGAAAGTGAGCAGAACCGCCCAGGACTGCAGCCCCCACTGCTGGCTCTGGTCGGCACTGGTGCCCTCAGGACTGCACTGTGGCAGGGTCATCATGGACGTTCAGAGAGGGCTGCCTGCGGGGCCTGGACAGGTACCGCTCCAGCGTTAGCCCATCAGAGCCCCCTGAGGAACACGTTTAAACGTGGAGTCTGGGGCTTGCGGTGGGGTGGGTTGTCTCACCTAGCATCCCATTTTCTGCATTTGTGCCTGCTTCTCAGAACCCCTGGGGTGGGTCCCACACCTCTCAAAGGACAGGAGCCAGGCGGGTACCCACTGGGAATAGGCTCTGTGCATCAGCGACAGCCTTGAACCAGAATTGATGTTTGGCCGTGCAGCTCAGAGACGCGCTGAAAGCCGAGCCCTCTGCAGTGGCCCCCAGGTCCTGCCTCACAGCAGCCCGTGTGGCCAGATGCGTGCGTCCTTTGCCGATGAAGTGAGCCACTGACCGCTTGTCCTGTTAAGGTGGGTGACTCCACGTGGGGAAAACCCTTTACCCGTTACGTTTCTGGTCATGTCCCTGCAGGGCCCGCTCCGAGTCCCTACGGCCCTCTTCTGTCTGCTTGCGGCCGGGACCTGTCTGGGTGGGAGAAGGGGTCGTCTTGGTTGGAGCCCCTCTCTGTAGGGGACTCGGAGTAGTTGCCCCCCACACTGCCAGGCAGCTTCCCAGCTCCCTTCCTACCCGTCCCAGGTGGGCTCCTCTTAGCAGACGGCAGACTGTGCAGGCGAGTGATGGCCACGCTCTGCCCAGACAGTGCCCCCAGCCTTCACCATACTGTTCCGCCTTTTGCGTGAGAAGGCGCACTCCCTCGGCAGAGATGGCATGCTCCAGACCCTGGCAGGCCTGTCCCTCTCCAGGGGGATTCCGTGCGGTCCTGGGATGGGAAGGACCTGGCGCCTCACTACCGCAGGTGTGGATGCCTAGGTGTCTCTGGGCCTCTGCGCGCCCATCTGAATGAAGATGGGGTTCAGTTGGATGGTCTCTGAGCTCCCTCCTCTTCTGGGCACTGTCTGCTTCGGAGTGGCGTGTGGGGCTCGGCTTTAACCTAACTTAGCAGGTCTGAACTTCCCCGTGAGCATGAGATACAGACTGTCACAGCCGACCGTGGCTGATCCCCGGGAAACAGTGTGGGAACCAACCACCGCGACATTTAGGGAGCCATGCAAATACGAGGAGCATGAACACTGAAGTTGTCCTGACAGATCCTGGGGCTCAGGTTCACTTCCAGGGCTCATGTCCACTCTGGGACCTCAGGGCGGGGCGCACTGGAGAGTTAGGGAACAGTTAGCCTTTTGAAAAAGGCTTATGGAAGGAGGTTGTCCCCTGCAGCGGGCAGACCGGCCTGGGAACAGCAATAACAGTACAGAATTCCAGGGAACGCTGGTCTTTCCGCAGGACGCTCTGCAAGAGGCTGAGCAGAAATACTGTGATCACGGTTTTGATTCTGACCTTGTGAATGGACACGAGGGTGGGGCGGCAGGAGGTGTCTCGTGGGCTCAGGCTGCCCAACACCAGCTTGGGCTTGAGCAGCCGCAGGCAGGGGCCCTGGGCTCAGGGCGCATCCTGGTCGGGCTCCGTGAGGACCCGCCCCTGGCTCACAGCCGGTGTCTTGTCGCTGTGCGCTCACGTGGGGAGGGCCCGGGGAGCTCGTGGGTGGCCTAAACTTGGGCCCCAATCCCACTGTGGGGGCTCCTCCCTCACGACCTAAGCACCTTTCCCACCTCCAAATACTGTCACGTGGCACTTGAGGCTTCAGCATAGGGACCTGGGAGCCTGAGTGAGCGGTGTGTGCAGACCGGGTGGAGCTGGGCAGGGAGAGGCGGGGCCGGGGAAGGGAGGCGGGGCCTTGTGGGGGAGAGGCGGGGCCGGGCGGGGGAGAGGCGGGGCTGGGGAGGCGTTTTAGTCACATGAGAGGCAGATTCAGATAAATTTAATTTAAATATGGGGGGCTGTCTCGGGGAAGGTGAATCAGAGTAGTTCTACATCCCTGCCCGTCACCGGAGTGTGGGGTGCGGGGCAGCCCCGGCCCTCAGGCGCCTTCCCGTCTGCGAAGGACAGCTTTCTGTCAAGTGGGTCTCCGCGGCTGAGCTGGGAGGCGGTGGCTGCCAGGCCGTGTGCTGCGGGCCTCGACCCTGCTCAGAAATGCTCAGAGCCCGGAGGCCTGATGCCCTGGGAGAAGCCGTTACTCCTCCTGCGGGGAAGTGCCTGCGGGCCCCAAGAGGGGAGCTCAGCGTCTCCCTGCCCGGGCATCTGGGTGTGCGTCACTGCAAGCCCAGGTCAGCCGCGATCTCTGGCTCCTGGTGCAGGATTACCAATGGGGTGCGTGCCCTGATGGACCGATTGGGTGGCAGACTGACCGACTGAAGACTGGTCTCATTACCTTGCCCTCTCGCTGCGGTAACCTCTCACTATTAGAGAATTAATCTGGTTGAAATAGTGTCAGGACTCCAAATAGCAAGAACATACTCCATGGACCCTGCTGGCAGGAAGGACCGGTCTAGTGGTTGTACCAGGGCCTGGACGTCCCTGGGGCTGTGGAGGGGGCAGCCCTCCGTGGCTCAGGGACGTGCGGCCTGGTCAGTGTGGGCAGGCAGCCTCGGCTGCTGGGGATGGGGACAGAGGAGCTCAAGCAGAGGGGGAAGCTGGTGCTGTGTGGGAGCCCCGTGCTCTGCAAGCTTAGGCTTCAAGGACTGGCTTACACCCAGCCCCCGATTCCTTGGCCTCTGCTGTGGCCTGTCCCACCCCACTGAGGCCTGTGTCCCCGGTTCCCTACGACCATGTTGGAGGGATCTGTCCCCTCCTATTACAGCTTCTCTGTGACCCACCCCTCACTGAACACTCCAGGCACCAACGCATTGAGCTCTCTGTACCCCCACCAAATGCCCCAGCATCTTACCACCCCTCACACCCCTGGTCTCTTCCCGTGACCGTCTCGGTCCTGCAGGGTTCCACCAGGGCCTGTCCTACCTCCTGGGCACTTTCTTGCTGGGGGCAGGACCCAGGCCTGTGTTCTTAGTCACCCGCAACACATGACCCCAGTGTAGATCCTGGTCCCAGACCCAGTCTCCCCAGGTTGTCCTCGCACGTTCAGGGTGCTGTGACTTTGTGTCGCCTGGGGACTGGCCGTCTCCGGCTCCTCTCCTGCTCCCCAGGTTGTCCTCGCACGTCCAGGGTGCTGAGACTTTGTATCGCCTGGGGACTGGCCATCTCTGGCTCCTCTCCTGCTGCCCACCACCCACCTGCAATGCCCAGACCAGAGGCATATGTCCCTTTTGCTCTCAGCCTCACAGTGGCCATCCCGGGGCTGGCCTCCACCGGAGCATCTCTCTGTGTCCCCCTGGCCACAGCCTCACTGCACCACCCAGCTCTGCCCGTCCTTGCTGACCGCCGTCCTTGCCCCTCTCTGCACGTGTGACCACATGGGTCCTGCCTCGCCCTCCTTCCTGTCTCCCCGCTGCGGTTTCTGCGTCTTGCTCCTGGGCACCACCCCATGCCCCTGCTGGGCTTCCTCAGAGCCTGTGGCTTCCCGTCTTGGTGCTTCTTACTGTGTGTAACCGTATGGGTTGTTCCTGATTCCCCAGCCGGCCCTAAGCCCCGCCGCTGTCCAGGCACCGGGCACAGTGTGCAGCCCGCAGCATCTGTGGCCCCCATCACGGCTGGGCGAGCCTGGCCACGCTGTCCTGGAGTCCCGTTCCTGCCGTGGCACAGGAAAGGACGCTGGTCTCAGATCAGCAGGCCACAGGGTTATCCTGCTGCAGCTGCAGTCTGGGTACTCAGTCTGGTATACAAGCCCCTCCAAGCCCCGTCTAGGGAACCACTTTCACAGCCAGGTGGGGGGCAGAGGGGCACGCATGCGCCTGAAAGTATATCTTTGTCTTTATGTGGGTGTAAGTCACCTCAGGGGACTCCCTTTGAGCTGCATTCGTCCCGAGCCTCCTCCGCCCTGCGGTCTCTCTCTATCCTGAATGCGGCGAGTGTCACAGAGCTGGGGGCTCCCGCTGGTTGCTGTCGCTGCGGGACGCAGCCTCATCTGGGCGCAGGAGAAGCCCTCCTGCTGGCCCTCCTGGAGGCTGCTCCCCAGCCTCCTTTTCCTCCTGCCCTACAGAGATCTCACGCTAGGTGGGAGAGGAGCTTTGCCCTCTGATGTGTACCTGGGGCCCAGGTGGCCCAGTTCCTGGGCACTGGCAGACAGGTGGCTTCCTGGCTGGGTTTGGGGCAGGAAGAGGGCTGGGAGGCACCATCCTGCCAAGGGGAAGAGCCTCCCTGTGGCTCCTGATCAGAGCGGGCGGCGGGGCTGGGCTCAGGGGTGCGCCGTTCGGTTGCCTCTGTTCCGTAGGGTATGTGAATGTTGGGGGAAATGTGTCTTTCTCTGGAAAATATGCCAGTGGGGAGCCTATGAAGAACCCTCCGGGGTCAGTCACACACGTGACCTTGGAGAGATGAAGCTACGCGCTGTGACCACTTCCTCCGGGCTCTTCGTGCACGTGTGCCTGTGTGCGATGTTGGACAGGTGGGTCAGGTTACCTGTGCAGCGACCAACTTTATCTCCTTGTTTTCCACAGGAGACATGGGTGACAAAGGACAGAAAGGCAGTGTGGGTCGCCATGGAAAAATTGGTCCCATTGGTTCTAAAGGTATTTGTGACACACCCCTTGCCTCACACCCCCAGACTTGCAGCACCTGGCACTGAGAATAACTATAGACGGGACAGTCTTGCTGGCAGTCATGTTCATTGCTGGGTTCATCCTGCATGATAAATTTTGTCCCAGTGTTTGCATTTGGGGAGTGGCTTTGTGCCAGAAGGTGGGGCACATGCCCTCTGTTCCCTGGGATGGAGAACCAGGAGCTGGTGTGCTTGGGCCAAACTCTGCCTCTGAGGGGCCGTATCCAGAACCAGTTTAATGGAGCACGGGCAGCCCACTCGTGCATAGGGCGCCGCTCCAGAAGCACTGTCCACCTCCAGCTTCGTGTCTGCCTCTGAGACTGCAGGGCAGCTCTGGGTGAGGAGGGGGCATGGGAGGGCAGGGGCAGGTGTGAGAGAGCGCTCTGGTGGCAAAACATGCTGGGGGCGTGCAGCTCAGGACACGGAGGCCCAGGGCAGGTAAGAGACGGCTCAGAGCCACACAGCTCTTCCCTTTTGCCACCACCCGGCAACAGATGCTCTGAGCCGGCTGAACCCTGCAGGGCACAGTGGGGTGAAGGCGGCAAGAAGCCCCTGCCCCTGAGCTCTCAGTGGGGTCCCACGGAGGTGTCCCTGTGGTCCGGGTGTGGGCCTGGGGATGAGGCACCACAGGCAGGGAAGTGGGGCCAGCTGGGGCCGCCCGATGCTGGTGCCTGGTTCTTCTGCCTTGCTGACCTGCCTTGGGGTTTGAGCTTTGTTGGCGGCCTTGGACACCTCCCCACCCCCGAGCCCAGCCTGGCCCTGGCAGGAAGGGCCCACAGCAGCAGTGTGAGGGAGAGTGTGGCCTGCCCTGCTGAGCTCCCTGCTGCTGGCAAACCCGTGGAAGGCCTGCCCTGTGGATGGGGATGGCTGACTTGTGCGCACACACAGATGTGTGTGCTGTGCAGAGGGCTGAGGGCGTGAGGAAGCGTAGCATCACATGTGTGGTAAGATCTCTGATGTAGAGTTTGCTGTCTAACTCTATGAGCCTCACCACCATTTCCAGACATTTGCAAAGAGAAACCTGTACCCATGAAGCACGGTCTCCTCATGCCCCCAGCCCCATTCACCTCTCCTCTGCTTTCTGTCTCTGTGACTTTGCCTATTCTAGGTATTTTGCACAAATGCAACATACCAGAGTTGTCATTTTGTGCCTGTTTGATTTCACCTGGTATAGTGTTTTCAGAATTTCTCTGTGTTGCAGCCTATGTCAGAATTTCCTTCCATTTTAAGGCTAAGTCACGGATGTACCATGCATCACTTATCCACACACCTGCTGGTGGACCTGTGGATTGTTCCCACTGCTGAGCTTTTGTTGAGAGTGTGCCTGCTGGTGTTGGTGCACAAGTAGGGTGTGTGTGCCTCTCATGCACAGCATGTCTGGGTCAGGGTTGATGCCTTGCCAAGGGGCAGCTTGCCAAGCTCCTCACGAGGTGCAGCTCACTCAGTCTGCTCCGTCTCTGCGATGCCACCCCAGCTCCTTGGCAGGCTGGTCTTTCAGTCACTTTCAAGTCTCCGATGTGGATAAAAAGAGCAGAGGGATCATTTGGATGGAGAAGGCCACGATCCCTCCCTCCCTCTGCAGGTGGAAGGGGAGCTACAGAAGGACGGCCGCAGCCCCTTCACTGCCCCTGCCAGCTGATGCTAGGGTCTCCCTGGGAGAAGAAAGACAGTTTTTCAGGAATGCTCATGGGACTTTCGTATTGTCTTTGTCTAATCGTTGAGTAGCTGGAAAGCTTTGTGGCCATGATTCTGTTCAGCCCCCTTGTTTTAGAAGTCAGGGGAAATGGAGGCAGCCTGGCGCAGTGGTGTGTCCTGCTTACTGGAGGCCAGTCTGAGGCCATCTGGGGCTCAGGCCTCCTGGTGGCTGTGCCCTCCTTCGACCCCACACTGCCTCTCAGATCTCAGCATGAGTTTTTAAGTGCTCTTTGCTGTATTTGGGTTAGATAATCTCTGGGTCCCCCTGGTGCTAACACAGCACATTCCATCTGGATTTTCCTGCTGTGATGAAGGACATGGAGGGAACCGGTGTGAAATGTAGTTGTTACAGTCTTAAGGGTTCATGACATGATATTTACAAAGTATTCTGTGAAACCTCTGCGATTTTCCAGAATTGATTCAAAGACTGATCATCTGATAATCTCTAAAATCCCATGGTAGGTATATGTTCCATATCATGTAAACAGAGCATGAAGAACTAATCATCTATAGGCCATAGCTCCCTGTAGATCACAGCAAAAAGAGGGTCTGGGAAAAGTCACAGAAGAAATAACACTGTTAACATGACGGCTGTGAGCTCATGAAACATGTCCCACCTCTGCTGGGTGACTTTGACCTTGCTCTCCTTTTCCAGGTGAAAAAGGAGATTCTGGTGATGTAGGGCCCCCTGGCCCTAATGGAGAACCAGGTATGGCATAAAAGTTCCAAGAATTTCAAAAAAATGTATTGAGAATTGCACTTTTTTCCAGTTTTATTGAGAAATAATTGACATACATCATTGTATAGTTTAAGGTGCACAATGTGATGCTTTGATTTATATTTATTGTGAAATGGCTACCATGTAAGTTCAGCTAACATCCATCACCTCACAGAGATACAATAAAAAGAAAAGAAAGAAGAAAAATGGAAGAAAAATTTATCCTTGCGATGAGAAGTCTTGGGATTTACTCTTAACAGCTTTCCTACATGTCATAAAGCAGAGTTAACCATTGTCCTCATGCTGGGCACTGCAGCCGTATTACTTACTTATCTTATAAGTGGAGGTTTGTACCTTTTGACCCCCTTCCTCCAGCAGCCCCCCCCACCCCTTCACCACCCCTGTGTCTGGGAACCACAAATCTGGTCTCTCTTTGTTTTTAGATTCCATGTATAAGTGGGATCACACAGTATTTGTCTCTCTGACTTATGTCACTTAGCATAGTGCCCTCAAAGTCCATTCATGTATCACAAGTGGTAGTATTTCCTCATTTTTTTCAGGTGGAATAATATTCCACTGTATATGTATCCTTCAATTTCTTTATCGGTTTATGCATCAACAGACACTTAGGTTGATCGGCTAGTTTTTGTCTCTACAACACTTCTTGAAGTGATTACATTTTTACTAGGTTTATAATATGCCTACAAGTGTTAGTTGAAGAAGAGGAAAGTGGGAGGCCTCGCTCTTCCTGGCTTGAAACTGCACTATAAAGCTATAGTCACCAAAATGGTATGGTAGTGGCATAAAAACAGACACACAGACAGGGAGGAGAATCGAGAACCAGAAATAAACACACAGCCAGTGGGGCCAAGGGCTCTCAGAGGAGAGCAGCCGTGGGTGGGTGGTGCTGGGATAACTGAGTCTTCACATGTGCAAGAATGACACTGGACGTGTGTCTCACACCACTCACAGAAATTAACTCGGAATAGATGGAAGGCTTACATGTAAGACCAGGAGTCATGACACTCCTAGGAGAGAACAGGAGTAAACCCCCGACGGCCTCGGTAGTGGGGTTTCGGATATGCCGCCCACACCGCAAGCAACGACGCAGGAAATAACGTGGGTCTGGTCAGACTGGGAGGCCTCTGCACCCCACAGAGCGGGAGGAGCCCCTGAAAAGGGGCTCATAGCTAACACATATAAAGAACTCACACAGCTCAACACCAAAAACACCAAATAAGCCGATCAGAAAACGGGCAGAAGCCCTGAACAGACGCTTCTCCGAAGGAGACACACAGCTGGCGAACAGGCCTGTGAAAAGATGCCCCACATCGCTCATCAGGGAAACGCAAATCGAACCAC